CACATTAGCATCATGAAAAACACCCACCATGTGCAGGAGCCTGGTGAGGAGTTTGGCCGTCAGAGAGACCTGGTCCAGCTCTGGTTGCACTGTACAAGCTTCTCCACTCTCCTTTGTCCTGCACACTGTTGGGTTTAATTGCATTCAAGTTGTCCCTAATCTTCCTCAGCTTTATCTATTTATGAGTCGACGCACTGATTCCACAAATCAAGCCCAAGAAAAAAGTTGGTGTTTAACCCTTAGTCGATTTACTTTTGTTCTTTCTTCATTCAGGACAAGGACAAGCTCGAACATCTTCCATAACACACAGCAAACTGTTTCTCACATAACCACGAGCAACTACTGCAGCAAGAAACTGTACGTTCAGGTCCAAATACCTAAATAGATGTAAATTCCCTGAGGTTCTACCAAAGGGATCAATAAAGTTTTACCTTTTATCTATCTATCTAGACAAAGGCTGGCTGCCAATGGGTTTCTATAAGATGAAGGTAGTGGAATTAAATCCATTGACCAGGACCTTTGTGGATTGATGTTCTTCCCATGCATGCAAGAAGTTCTTTGGTTTCTCTCATGAACTGTAAACCCACGTGTCTATCAAAGCAAAAACACCCTCAGTTGTGCATAATTTTAATCCCTGATACAGTTTAGTTAGAGTTATGTAAAACTGAACCTTGTGTGTATAGTTGTGTTGGGGGAAATTAGCGATAGAGACTGAAACTGTTTTTGTACGAGGCTGTTAATTAGTATTTCTGCTTTAAAGTTGGACATGTCAACATGGGGGTCTATGGCAGTTGGTTTGTTTCAGGAGGGCATTTGACGAACTACAATTTTTCACATTAAAACTCATTTTACCCAGAAAACCTGCAGGCTGGGTAAAATAAAAACTCTCTATTTTATTTTTTTTTTGCACTACATCTCCAGCTTGATCGAACACAAAAAGTTTTTCGGCTGTGCCAGCCTTTATTTCTCCAAGGTACTTTTAAATTGCCTGAAGGTGTGATTTAAATATTATTATACATGTTTTGCACTTTTTTCTAGTGCTCAGCAGGTGTCAAAGAGGGCTTTGTGCTACTACGTGTCTTTTTGAGCATCAGTAAAACACAGAAGATGCTTGTACACTGTAGCAGTCTCCTTGTGCAGTAACACACAACTCCCAGTGCTGCTACAACACTTGTGACACTCCTGGAAGTCAGTCACAGAGGAAGGGAGTCAAATCATTGCCAAAAAACACTTTGCATAATCACCACAGCTGAGGTCATTTGTGCTGAATGTTCTCCCTCAGATGTCTGAAGATGTCAGGGCAGCACGACTTCTGCTGCACTGACAGCTGGACCCTGAGCGATGAATTCACAATACACAACCGCCATATTGAAGGACAGACTGAGCATGCTCCCGGTGACCTGATACATCTCATCTGTTTTGGAAACTGCATGAAGTCACGCTGTCTTCTGATCCTGTGACGGCTACTGTTGGCACATGCTGCCACCCATGACGTGCTCCGTCTACATGCTACCTGAACACTCACAGAACGTCATGATCACCCGTCATACAACCGAAAAAACATCTCACTTTTCTCCTCAGATCTCCTTCCAAAGTCAAAAAAAAAAGTCAGAAACACACAAACATATGCATTGTACAGCTGGAGAACTCATCCATGAGTGTGAAGAGGAGCTACTTCACGTCTAAACACACACACACAGGTTACATCACATCCCCACACTTGCAACATGCCCTATTCAAAGCCAATATAGACGAACTTAATACAAAATTTTAAAAACAATTTCTGCATATACAAGAGTCCAGTATTGGTTTCTACTCATAGAATGTGTACAATATTAATGTTTTCTTCCTGATACAACGAACCTGTGCAATGTCAATATTTTCCACATTTAGAGGAATCTGTGAATTTCTACATATGGACGAATCTGTACAATAAAAACACTACTTTCATATTTGTTTTTCATTTTTCTATTGTTTTTTGCACTATCCTGTTTTCTGCTGTGATACTACAAACTTCACTGCTGTGGGATTATTACAGGCTTCTCTCATCTCATCTTAATGCAGACAGGTGCACAAACCCACAAATGCATAAACATGCTCTAATGAAACTGTGGAGCACTGAAAGGTGCACAAACACAAATAGACATGATTCTAATCTGTAAAATCTATTAAAGTAAATAAATACATTCAAAAGCAAGCATGTGTCAGTGTGAATGTGTACTTTTCCAACTGCTGTAAAATCAGAACGTCGTAATTCAAAGTACCTGCTTAGTTCAAAGTGTTTCAGGGTCCCGACGGTATCAATAAGTTTGAACTTTGACATGAGCTATTCCATTACAACTTCAAATAACCAGGATTTTAATAGATTTAGATGCTTCGTACATGTTTTCTGTTGCCAGAATCAAATTTTAAAGGTTTTAGAAACGTACCAAATGGTGCGAATGGATAACCAAGCAAAAAGATTTTGAAAAAAATCAATCAATCAGTCTAAAACAGGATGCCAGTGTCGGCCATCATGAAAAATGGGAGCCGTTTAGAAATTTTGCAAAGTTTTCCTAAATGCCGGTAAGTAATACGCATTCGTTTTTTAGTTATCAGCCTCACTAAAACAGATTTCTTGCTTTTTATTATCAGAGTACTAGATCTATTGTTTGCTGTGGGCAGGTGAAGAGACTTAATAACAAAAATCCATCCATTATCTATACACCGCTTAATCCTCACTAGGGTCACGGGGAGCTGGAGTCTATCCCAGCTGACTCAGGGTGAAGGCAGGGGACACCCTGGACAGGTCACCAGTCTATCACAGGGCTACACTTAGAGACAGACAACCAAGCACACTCACATTCACACCTACAGACAATTTAGAATCACCAATTAGCCTCAACATGTTTTTGGACTGTGTGGGAGGAAGCTGGAGAACCTGGAGAGAACCCACGCTGCACGGGGAGAACATGCAGACTCCACGCAGAAAGATTCCGGGACACGAACCGGCGACCTTCTTGCTGCGAGGCAACAGTGCTACCAACTGCGCCACCTTGCAGCCCCTTAATAACAAAACTGCCTTTGAAATATGCTGCACACTCCAGCTTTAACACGTTTACTTGTAAGGTGAACGTATTTTAATGTTGCGTTTATGGTTTGCTGTGCTGCCTTTGGACGTCCAGAACCAACATCATTGAGCACAGGTTTAAAACGAATCCAAGAAAAACAGTTTTAAGATGAAGGGAGATAAGATAATCCTTGACTGATTCCACAGAACACTGTTGATATTGTACAGATGCTCCTACATGCAGAAAATCTAGATATTGAACAAATTCCTCTGAACGTGAAAAATAATGACACCGCACAGAAAATCTATTTTTGATCTCACGCTCATCGTTCTTCTCCCACCAGTTGGTAGTTTTTTGGTTTTACAAAACTCTGCACAGTGTATACGTCCAATTACACCATTTGTCTTGTGCCGTCGTGTTGAGTCAGACAATTGCAAATATCATTTGTTCTTTTAAATGTTATTCCAGCTTGAGAGCCCACAATCACCTAATGGCCACAGAAACCGGCAGAGAAACACGAGGAAGCGGCTCCTGCACGACTGTCATGGATGCGGCACAAAGACTAATGAACTCGTGGTTGTGAATGAAGCTGCCTGGTTGTTGTGAATGAAATGCTAAATTGGCGTCTCTGTCATTAAAACTGAGGGAAGAGAGAGACATGAGTCATGCAGCCTGGAGCACAATCAAAGCTTCCTGCTCCTCCATCTCCGTCTCCGTCGATGGACCCCGAACAGGCGCTGATCAATGCAACGAACCGGGATAAACTCAACGGCAGGATTAAGAGCAACAATGGCAGCAACAGCAGCAGCCCATATTTTGAGTAAACATTCATCCGCTGTATTGTTACGCTGGACTCAGTGGTTGCATAAGAGATGAAATGATACCATGCCATGGCTGCAGGATATAGAAAATGTTGGGAGGATTAAAGAGCAGTTTGATAAGTTATTTTTACAGTCACATATGGGGGTTTTACTCAGCATTGACACTGCAGTGCTACCTGTTTGCAAAGTGGTTCATGTTTTTATTTCTGATTTCCGGCTTCCATTTGCCTGCGTCATTTATCCCTGATATCAATTTCAAAGTAATTATTCCCCTAATTAACAGATTAATTATGATACTATTAGAGCTTAATTGCACAAACAAACACAATGACACAACTTATTGTGACTCAGCATCATGCTGTGTGTCTTAGCACAAAAAAGAAGCTTTTTTTCTTTTTTACTAATTTATATCCAAAAATGTGTGAAAGTGTACAATTTTCCTTTTAGTAATATATCGATTACTGCTGATAGTTAAAACTCAGCTCCTCTTTTGGATCTTCAGTCCACTAACATCAGAGTTAAGGTGAATTCTAAAAGTCACAGCAACTTTTAAACTCAAAAAATGGTGTTTAAAAGCAGCACTCTTTGGTTTTCTTCATCATTTACAGCATAAAAGAACTGACTGAGTCACCAAGTTTAAATAACAGAGAGGCTGCAAATGTCATTCTAAAGGTAATAACAGAAAAATAATAGTCTGCATTGCTTTGTATTGATCCAGTGTTTCTTTGATCAGTTTTTCTTTGACTTGATTGATAACTGAAGCACATGTTTGCTGTTTAATGAAGTAGACTGATGATCAACTTAGAAGTAAACTGCAGAGGCCAGCACCAAAGTCTAATCAGCAAATAAATACCGACAATATTCTTCATCTAGGTCACGAGTAATCTATTACTCTGCCTGTAACGACTCCACGCTGCTGCTGCTGTTATTGTTGACTTTTTGAGGCATATTTTGCCCAGCAACTTTTACGGGATGACTCACCCAACGCGGCTGTTACGCATGACAAATAGAAAAAAAAAATGAAAATCAAAGGATAAGGTGGGGCGAGCAGATGGTTTGGACGCAGATAAAAAGGTGTTTGGTGCGGAGGGAGCGACTATTTGAGAGCAGGCAGAGGGAAAGGCCACACATGCTGCCGTGCACCGGGACCATGCAGAGCTCCAGGCTGCTGAGCGGGGCGCTTCTCTGCGCGCTGCTGCTGCTCTCCAGCGCAGCTGGAGCCGAAATGTTGGACAGCGAGTCCGAGGAGGAGCTGAGCCCCAGAGCCCTGCGGGACTTCTACCCAAAAGGTCCGAACCTGACCAGCGAAAAGCAGCTGGTAAGATTTCGTTTTACTTTTTTTTTTTGAGCATGCACATGGAAAGGCGATGCAACTTTGGGTATTTCCCAGAGTTTAGTCATTTTATCAAGTCAATTTGTAATTTTTGTTGCGTTGCTTCCTTAAAATGAACCAAATTCGATTAAAAAACGTCCGCATTTAAGATTTTCTCTGTCATATTACTTCTAGCTGGTGCATTTAGTCACATATTTACCACTTTTTCCTCATCAGTTTGTGTCGCTTTTACGCAATATCACTTTTACGCATGACTGTATTTTGCAAATAACCTTTAATTATTCCAATTCCTAAGAATTTACGGATTATTTTCTTACTAAAAGCTATAATCACTTAACATCTTCGATACATACGACTGATTTTCTCTGCCGTGTAACTTCTAGCTGGTGGAATTTGTCAAATATTTACCACTTTTTCTCACCAATTTGTACCATTTTAGACGAAACGTCACTTTTACGCATGGCTGTATTTTGCAAACGATCTCCAAATATTCCAATTATAAACGATTTACAGATGCTTTTTCTTATTATAAACTATGTTCACTTTGCATTTTCAACACATGTGACACAAAAAATGTGTATTTAATGTTTGTATGCACATTTATCGAACTCCTTTTCCTTTTGATTCTGACAGCTTGGAGCTCTCCAAGAAGTTCTCGAAAAGCTGCAGGCTAAACGACTGCCTTTATGGGAAAAGAAATTTGGCCAAGTCCCAACGGTACAGTGCGCACTTTAACACGCCGCATTAATTGATATTTTTATCAATGCATGTCGCAGCTGGTGGAAGTTAAACGTCTGCTTTACGCTTCTCTCCCTCAGTGTGACGTCGGGGAGCAGTGCGCTGTGAGAAAAGGCGCTCGCATCGGAAAGATGTGCGACTGTCCCCGGGGAGCTTTCTGCAACTTCTTCCTGCTGAAGTGCTTATGAGTCTCTCCGGATCTGAATGTAGCATTGAGATGTGGATAAAACAAACAAAACTCTCACTCGATTCCTTTGTAATTACTGTCATATTTTTTATGATACAGCTGAGGATTAGGTGGGGTGACTGCAACCCGCACGAAAAAGAACTATAGTAGTTCTATGATGTATATTTTAGAAGAGTATATATTCTATCACAGAAAGCTAAACGTTGCTGTAAGGATGGTGATGAACAGGAGATGAGGACACCCATAAATATTCAGAACCACTTTATGTCTGTAGGAAAACCCACTTTGGATCATTGTTGTGAGAAAAAAAAACACACTGCTGCACAATAAAACCTTCACCTGAGGACCACAAACACACTGTAACACTCCTGACAGCAATATTATGGGAATATTATAGTGATTCTTCGTCTGGGTGAATCCAATCTGTCTTTTGAACTTGAACTATTTTTGTTTCAGATGAATGTTTTGTGTATGAATAATAATACTAATGGTAATAAACTGTGGACCATGTTGTTTTGTAAAGCAGTGGAGTGGCTGCATGTTCTTCTGAAACTTCAGTCGTGTCACACGTGTAGATTATTTTTTGTAATGATTTGAAGGAGTCGGTGTTTGGACAGTGACGTTTGCACTCCGTCACACCTTCAACCTGCTGCACAGATCACAACAGAGGGGATAAAAATGAAATTCAGCTGCAGAGGAAGCAGAAACTAACTGTTACATCTCCATCACTGCACCAAAACTCTGAGGCTCTCATTGATTATCAGCTTCATGATGCTGATGACATCAGAGAAGCTAAACACAAGAGTGACCGAAAACTAAAGATGTGAAAACAATCTATTTTTACCTCCCACACAAGCAGCCTCATATCTAAATATATCCACAGGGCAGTTTCCACTTGAAGCTCTGTATTGTTTAAAAGCAGCAAGATGCCACCGTGCACACACCTCACATCTGAGTCTAAGGTGTGTACACAACAATATGTAAAGGTTTCAGCATACAGAATTAAAGTAAAGGGGCTAAAAAAAACCTAAAGTAAAAGGAGAAAGCTTCCAGAATCGATGCAATGAATGAGTTATTACTAATTGGCAAAGTTCAAGTGCAGTAAGGAGGAAAAATGTAAGCTAAATCAGTATTTGGTGTGAGGTCTTTAAAACACTTGTTCTCCTCGATGCGCTGTTTCTTTCACGTACCTGGCAGGCTGGTTGTTAAGCATCCTAGAGGAGTCGCCACATTTCTTCTGCGGGATCCCAGACTGACGTCACAATGATGAGATCATTGAAGACGGATGAAGCTTTGTGACGTCAGCCGTAGGTTTCCTGAACAGCAGGCTTGACACTCAGTGGCTCAGGCTGTTTCCATCTTGTCGGTACATGACTCGTGTTAACTCCCAGCTAATTCAAACATAAGCAGAGAGATGCAGCATTAGTGGAGCTGAGCTTGGCCATGAACTGTCCTATGATGCATCCATCCTGTCACGCTAACTGTGCATAATTTTAAGCCTTAATACAAGTTTAACTGGTGAGTTAGATAAAGATGTACCACCCGTAGAGTTGTCATGAATATGGAAATTAGCTAAAGAGACTAAAACCATGTTTTCTACCAGGCTGTGAAGATGTTTATTTCTGCTGTAAAGTTGGATATTTAACTTGGAGGTTTTTGGGGATTGACTCATTTTTGGAGGCAACCTCAAGTGGACTTTTGAGGAACTGTACTTCTGGTTTTGCTTCATTTTACAACCCTAGAGAGTTGCCACTTGGTTCTTCAGCAACTCAAAGGATCAAATCTAGCCAAGTTTATTGAGATAGCAATTTTTTAAAACAATCTAAGTTGATCAAAGTGCTGCACATGTTATAAGACAGACACCAACCAAAATATGTGCAAGAAAACGAGAGAAAACAGGAAGAACTCAAATTTAAAGAACAAAACAAAACAAAGCCTGTGTTTATTTCTGTCAAAGTGTGTCTTCTAGCATATAAAAAACATCATATTCTCCTCCTTCTGTGACATCATTTAAGTGCTGTTCACATATTATTGCACTTTTAAGAACAATTAAGTGTTTGCATGTACAGTTCTGAGAATTAGTTCATCCTTCTGTGAATTCATGTGAATAAAAGCTTGACATCTAAAGGAGACCTTTTAATTGGAAATATGACATTTAAGCATCTAAGTATGTCTTCCTTCATGTCCATCCTCACAGCATATTGAGTTGTTGACTTTGTTTCATAGAGTACCATCACTTTTTGGTTTATGGACAAATTAAACTCCTTCAAAAACGAAATAAAAGCTAAATGGAGTTCATCAGTTAATAAATTCAAAAATAAATGCTTGACAACGAGACCACGGATTGAAACAATGTCTTCATGTTCAATCGAATCATATCTGTCTTGACTCCTCGCTGATGACTTGAGTTTTTGAGCTCTCTTTGTTCATATCCAACATCGCTGTGCTCGTCTCACATCCAGCTTTTCTCTCTGCTAGCCGCCATCAATAATGCAGGAGAGACAAATGTTGACTTTTTCATGTTCGTTTTAGCTCGGCTGTGTGGAAGTCGACATGGAGCTGCAGGCAAACTGCAGCTTGTGATCAAATTAACTGCTTACTTTTTCATGTTCGTCCTCTTATTTCCTGGAGAAGCTGTTGTCATAAATATTTTACTGACAGGTGGAGACACTCGGACGCAGCAGAAGAAGGGGAAGCTCCTGAGGTCTCATTGAACATGATTTCTTAGAGAGCATCATGATATCATCTCATGTGGTCATGCAAAAGACAGTTGGATGGTTTTACTTAGAAAATGTGGCCTCATCAGCTGATTGTTCATTCACTGGTCCAGCAGGTTAAAAAAAGCTCCACTAAGATGTTTATTTTTGCACACAACTTAAAAGTAAAAGAGTCCTAAGTACCAGTACAACAAAGTAATAAGTTAAAACCCTGCATGAAAAGTCCTATTTATGCCATTTTTTTTTTTGTACTAGAGCAAAATGTAGTTAAAAAGTAAAACTCCTGGTTTGGTATCTCTGATTGATGTATTATTAGATCTGTCCATCATTAGATCATCAGTAGTAAAGCACCAGTGTGTCAGCAGCTTGTCACTGTTGTAGCTGCTGCAGTTTAAACTACTTTAAATCCAGTTTTATTTTCAGAGACAAGATAAATCTGAGGCTCCAAACATGATTAATAGGAGAAGGAAAGAAGAAAGAATGAGTTCTGATACATAAATCTGTGTTCAGCGATTCTTCAGTCTTGATTTTTGGTGAAATATTGGATCATTTTATTAAAATAAAACAACACAAGAAGCTTTAAGGTAAAAAGAAAGCACGTTGGTAAAAGCCAAACAAGCTGAAACCGCTATTTTAATTCAGACAATGTGTTATGTTTGAAAAGTTTGGTACATGAACTGTTGTGTAAATGCATCATTCTGTTCTGATACATAAGTTTGTTTTAATTTTTCCAACAATCTTTGATGTTTGCAGCGATACTGGATCATTTGAAGATGTACTCAAATGAAACCAGGTGAGAAGTTTAGATGGAAAAAATCACTAAATCACAAAAAAAGTCTTTGATTTTTGCTGAGATTTTGGATCATTTCATTAAAATGAAACCATGTGAGCAGTTTTAAAGGTTGTTTAATTAACTATTGTGTCAAATCTACATCTTTGAGGTAAGAAGGGGAGTCGAAAGTATGCCGTTTCCCTCTGAGACGTAACGGAGTGGAAGAACAAAGCAGCTTAAGTTGAAAATACTGGAGGAAAATACCTCAAAATTGCACTGAAGTGTCGCACTCGACTAAATGGCTCCTGCCCCTGGTCCAGAGTGAGACGTCTCACCAAATATCAGGCATCAAGACAATGACTCCTCACTATTTCTGTGCCCTTCTGCACAGGAAATATAAAAACCGAGACCATTCATGCTCCACAGACGATGAAGCTCTGCATCACTCGTTGACCTTTCTTGTAGTGCTGCCATCAGGCAAACTCGTGAAGCTCTCATGGCTGGATTACTGGGCAATTTGTCGCAGAAATTCTCATCCATAATTATACAAATCATATTAATTGTGCTGACCCTTAGACCTTTCCTCTGAGACCACCGTCGGGTGAAATCCTCCCCTCAGTCATGCTGTGAAAAACACGAGGGCAGCATTTTCATTTCCATTTTGGTCATTTCTCGAGCTGCCCTCCTCCAGCGCCTTCCTCTGAACAAGCAGATCAGATTAGCACACACAGTAACTAACGGTTGCACTGCCATCAATTTTCCTGAGAGCATTCATCATCCTGAAGAGGCTGAATCATTCTTGCTTTGATCATCCTGTGGTCTGTCGTCTGGCAACACTTTAAACCCCTTAAGCCACTATTTTGTTAAATTTCCAAATGAAAAAAACGTCCTTAACTGCACAACTGTGAGGCCAAAATGAACAACCTTGAGCTCTATTAATAGGAGACACCTGGAGAAATAATTAAATACAGTAAGTGTCTGTGTCCTCATCACCACAGAGGCTGGAAAAACACTCCTAAAACAAAGAGTCAGTGACAAGACGTGGAGCCCTAAAACACGCCCCGCTTCATCGTCTATTTTCCTCTAAATGGGATCATAATTTACTAAGTAGCATCATATTGTACTGAATGAGACCTGGAACTAGCAATTGAGACCATGAACTTATTAAGAAAATGTCTACTGAGGTAGTAAATCAAGCGAGAAGTCAGCTCAGTTTCTCTTTTAAACTGGAAGAGTCGCCCCCTGCTGGCTGTTGGAAAGAATGCAGGTTAGAGGCACTTTGACGTTGGCTTCATCGTGGAGGCTCCATCTTTTACAAGTAGTCTATGAATTAAGCAGAAATGAGAGATGAAGCACAACAAATCCTGCAGCCTTTTAAATAACGGCAGTATTTTGCACCCTCTTCAGTGAAAGTGCCACGGTCGGGAAACGTCTAAAAATCGGGTTGTTTTCTTAACAACCGACACAACCTGGTCCCAGTAAAGGAGGCGTCATAGTGGGAACCAAAGGCTCCATTTGCACAGACACTAAATATAACAGGATGCTACTTACATTACATTCATGCTCCACAGGGGATGAACCCTTTTGATGCTTGTGATATTAAAAGCCCAGTAATTTTTTTAATTAAAGTTGTGATTTTAACTTAACTAAATGCCTCCAAAAATTAAATTT